CTGTTCTGAAGCATTCGAGCGGTAATTCAGACCAGTCAAGAACATACGTGGTGAAAACTGATCCAAACCATTTCGGACACTCTATCCAGCCATTTCTTTCTTTCTTCTAATTTCTGTAAATCACTCAAATCCAAAGCATCATCAAGCAGAATTTCTTCCTTTAACCACGAAATTCAAAATTTCTTGACTGCCTTGATGGCCATTTCGACCAATTCAGACCAGCATGGTGACAAGTTCCGTTGAGAGTTGGCTAAATAATAAAGATATTGTTAACATCATATAGATTGTCTTCACACAAGATTAGACAACCACGTTAAGCTAGGCAAATAATTCAGTGACATATTAAATTTCGCATCCAGACAAGGCCCCTAGGAGTAAACTTCGCGTGACAAGGATCACTCTGCTTCAAAGAAGTGTCTGTCACTCCATCTGACTCATCCATATTCATTGATGGCCTCCATATAGCTGGTGTAGGATCTGACTTGAACAATTGCTTCATGCCCAACCTATATTGCTTGACAGTTTGAGCACTTCTAATGGCCTCCATATAGCTGGTGTAGGATCTGATTTGAACAATTGCTTCATGCCCAACCTATATTGCTTGACAGTTTGAGCACTTCTGATGGCCTCCATATAGCTGGTGTAGGATCTGATTTGAACAATTGCTTCATGCCCAACCTATATTGCTTGACAGTTTGAGCACTTCTAATGGCCTCCATATAGCTGGTGTAGGATCTGATTTGAACAATTGCTTCATGCCCAACCTATATTGCTTGACAGTTTGAGCACTTCTAATGGCCTCCATATAGCTGGTGTAGGATCTGATTTGAACAATTGCTTCATGCCCAACCTATATTGCTTGACAGTTTGAGCACTTCTAATGGCCTCCATATAGCTGGTGTAGGATCTGATTTGAACAATTGCTTCATGCCCAACCTATATTGCTTGACAGTTTGAGCAGTTCTGATGGCCTCCATATAGCTGGTGTAGGATCTGATTTGAACAATTGCTTCATGCCCAACCTATATTGCTTGACAGTTTGAGCACTTCTAATGGCCTCCATATAGCTGGTGTAGGATCTGATTTGAACAATTGCTTCATGCCCAACCTATATTGCTTGACAGTTTGAGCACTTCTAATGGCCTCCATATAGCTGGTGTAGGATCTGATTTGAACAATTGCTTCATGCCCAACCTATATTGCTTGACAGTTTGAGCACTTCTAATGGCCTCCATATAGCTGGTGTATGCCCATCTGACAGTTTGATTCTGAACAGGATCTGATTTGAACATGCTTCAACCTATATTGCTTGACAGTTTGAGCATTTCTAATGGCCTCCATATAGCTGGTGTAGGATCTGATTTGAACAATTGCTTCATGCCCAACCTATATTGCTTGACAGTTTGAGCACTTCTAATGGCCTCCATATAGCTGGTGTAGGATCTGATTTGAACAATTGCTTCATGCCCAACCTATATTGCTTGACAGTTTGAGCACTTCTAATGGCCTCCATATAGCTGGTGTAGGATCTGATTTGAACAATTGCTTCATGCCCAACCTATATTGCTTGACAGTTTGAGCACTTCTAATGGCCTCCATATAGCTGGTGTAGGATCTGATTTGAACAATTGCTTCATGCCCAACCTATATTGCTTGACAGTTTGAGCATTTCTAATGGCCTCCATATAGCTGGTGTAGGATCTGATTTGAACAATTGCTTCATGCCCAACCTATATTGCTTGACAGTTTGAGCAGTTCTAATGGCCTCCATATAGCTGGTGTAGGATCTGATTTGAACAATTGCTTCATGCCCAACCTATATTGCTTGACAGTTTGAGCACTTCTAATGGCCTCCATATAGCTGGTGTAGGATCTGATTTGAACAATTGCTTCATGCCCAACCTATATTGCTTGACAGTTTGAGCACTTCTAATGGCCTCCATATAGCTGGTGTAGGATCTGATTTGAACAATTGCTTCATGCCCAACCTATATTGCTTGACAGTTTGAGCATTTCTAATGGCCTCCATATAGCTGGTGTAGGATCTGATTTGAACAATTGCTTCATGCCCAACCTATATTGCTTGACAGTTTGAGCAGTTCTGATGGCCTCCATATAGCTGGTGTAGGATCTGATTTGAACAATTGCTTCATGCCCAACCTATATTGCTTGACAGTTTGAGCACTTCTAATGGCCTCCATATAGCTGGTGTAGGATCTGATTTGAACAATTGCTTCATGCCCAACCTATATTGCTTGACAGTTTGAGCACTTCTAATGGCCTCCATATAGCTGGTGTAGGATCTGATTTGAACAATTGCTTCATGCCCAACCTATATTGCTTGACAGTTTGAGCACTTCTAATGGCCTCCATATAGCTGGTGTAGGATCTGATTTGAACAATTGCTTCATGCCCAACCTATATTGCTTGACAGTTTGAGCACTTCTAATGGCCTCCATATAGCTGGTGTAGGATCTGATTTGAACAATTGCTTCATGCCCAACCTATATTGCTTGACAGTTTGAGCACTTCTAATGGCCTCCATATAGCTGGTGTAGGATCTGATTTGAACAATTGCTTCATGCCCAACCTATATTGCTTGACAGTTTGAGCACTTCTAATGGCCTCCATATAGCTGGTGTAGGATCTGATTTGAACAATTGCTTCATGCCCAACCTATATTGCTTGACAGTTTGAGCACTTCTAATGGCCTCCATATAGCTGGTGTAGGATCTGATTTGAACAATTGCTTCATGCCCAACCTATATTGCTTGACAGTTTGAGCACTTCTGATGGCCTCCATATAGCTGGTGTAGGATCTGATTTGAACAATTGCTTCATGCCCAACCTATATTGCTTGACAGTTTGAGCAGTTCTGATGGCCTCCATATAGCTGGTGTAGGATCTGATTTGAACAATTGCTTCATGCCCAACCTATATTGCTTGACAGTTTGAGCACTTCTAATGGCCTCCATATAGCTGGTGTAGGATCTGATTTGAACAATTGCTTCATGCCCAACCTATATTGCTTGACAGTTTGAGCACTTCTAATGGCCTCCATATAGCTGGTGTAGGATCTGATTTGAACAATTGCTTCATGCCCAACCTATATTGCTTGACAGTTTGAGCACTTCTAATGGCCTCCATATAGCTGGTGTAGGATCTGATTTGAACAATTGCTTCATGCCCAACCTATATTGCTTGACAGTTTGAGCAGTTCTGATGGCCTCCATATAGCTGGTGTAGGATCTGATTTGAACAATTGCTTCATGCCAAACCTATATTGCTTGACAGTTTGAGCACTTCTAATGGCCTCCATATAGCTGGTGTAGGATCTGATTTGAACAATTGCTTCATGCCCAACCTATATTGCTTGACAGTTTGAGCACTTCTAATGGTCTCCATATAGCTGGTGAATGGCCTGGTTTGAATGTTCCTCCTGCCCAACCTATATTGCTTGATTCATAACACACACCAATAAATCATTCCATAACAGCAGAGTTTCTATGGCCATTAATACAGACAGGCTATATGGAAACGTCAAGCTACTGTGTGTTGAATGTGTCATCACCCAACATACAATGAATCATTTTCAAATGCTGCTACCTAAATAGAATCTAAACTGAAACACTTGTTTGGATGCAAATGTGAGTCGATGCCTAACAAGCTTTAAAAAGTTCACCGCTGTGTATCTGGAACATATGAAATTCAAATTCCCAAACGCGACCGACATTTGCAGGTAGACAGTTAATTTTCTCATCCGTCTGTGTAATGTGTCGTTGCCTGAAAGAAGTACTGAAGTGATATGGAGCAGGCTCTCTTTGACTCTCTGAGCATATTGCTTTAGCCCGGCTATCTGATCTGGTTAGCCGTTAAAGCGTTAGGGAAGGAATATTTAATGAAGAAGAATATGCCTGATGTTACGCAAATGTAGATTAAACATGATTGAAGACGGCATGTTCTCAGTGAAATCAGCAATGCGTAGAAAATTGAAATGATTCGCGGACCTTCTAAAATATCAGTCTGAAATATTTTTATCTAACCATATTCCCTTTTTTGCACTAACTGATGAAATAATTCACTGAAGTTTGCAGGATGGTTACTCATGTCACATGAAAATGCCACTGAACGCATTACAGGATTTGATTCTTTAAACACTTCGTTACACCCAGTAATGTTTTTGTTTCTATAAAGTCGAAACTATTTGGTAAGTAAGCATTTTACCACCAAGTGGAAATACTTATTTATGGTATTCTTCGCGGAAAAATAATATTAATAATGTGTGCAATCATAGTGTAGATGCATTCGTTTTATTGCTAAGCTATTTCTTGGAGTTTTTTGTGCTAACCATTGTCAAGCAAGACTGCTGCGTGGTTCTGACTCTATAGTTCGTTTGGGTTCAAATGAGAACGAAGAATGATTAAATAACTCGAAATTGGGATAAGTGCATCAAACATAAATAAGACACATGGTCCTGAAACACCTGTACCCAACAGGATCTGAAATCTGACGTTCTTTTGATCGATCACGGAAAACGTTAAAGAAACCATCATGTAATATTGTGCTATTTTCACGCTTCACACCGAGGGGTGACAAACGGCTGATGGAACAGCGCCTGACCAGCTGGGGTCATCTCACTGTGCTGAGTTGCACCTGAATGTGTGTTGGTACTGTTCCACCAGCCGTTTGTCAACCCCCGTTGTGAAGCGTGAAAATAGCACAATATTACGTGATGGTTTCTTAAACAACTTTTTCCGTGATCGATCAAAAGATCACGGAAAAAGTTGATCTGAAATCTGACGTTCTTTGGATCGATCACGGAAAAAGTTGTTTAAGAAACCATCATGTAATATTTTGCTATTTTCACGCTTCACACCGGGGGTTGACAAACGGCTGATACCTTTTCGTTTTCATTTGAACCCAAACGGACTGTATGTTCGGGTGAAAGGTGATAGAAATGTCATTATATTGAGTTGTTATGAAATGTTTTGTTGTTTCAGAGCCCTGAAGTATCTGAGGGAGTGTTCCAGTAGCAGATTCATCGCTGTCATCGGCTTCTTCCTGTCCATACCATCTTTCCTGTTGGGTGAGCTCAACAAATATGTCTCCTTATCATCTTTCCTGTTGGGTGAGTACAACAAATATGTCTCCTTACCATCTTTCCTGCTGAGTGAGTACAACAAATATGTCTCCTTACCATCTTTCCTGCTGAGTGAGTACAACAAATATGTCTCCTTACCATCTTTCCTCCTGGGTGAGTACACGTACAATAATGTGTCCTTACCATCTTTCCTGTTGGGTGAGTACAACAAATATGTCTCCTTACCATCTTTCCTCCTGGGTGAGTACACGTACAATAATGTGTCCTTACCATCTTTCCTGTTGGGTGAGTACAATAAATATATATCCTTACCATCTTTCCTGCTGAGTGAGTACAACAAATATGTCTCCTTACCATCTTTCCTCCTGGGTGAGTACACGTACAATAATGTGTCCTTACCATCTTTCCTGTTGGGTGAGTACAACAAATATGTCTCCTTACCATCTTTCCTGCTGAGTGAGTACAACAAATATGTCTCCTTACCATCTTTCCTGCTGAGTGAGTACTGTCTCCTTACCATCTTTCCTCCTGGGAGAGTACAAGTACAACAATGTGTCCTTACCATCTTTCCTGTTGGGTGAGTACAACAAATATGTACAATACAATAAATATGTCTCCTTACCATCTTTCCTCCTGTTGGGTGTCCTTAATCTACAACTACAATCGTTTGTCCCCGCCATCTTTCCTGTTGGGTGAGTACAAGTTTGTCAATACCATCTTTCCTGCTGGTGTCCTTACCATCTTTCCTGCTGGGTGAGTACAAGTACAATAATGTGTCCTTACCATCTTTCCTGTTGGGTGAGTGCAATAAATATATATCCTTACCATCTTTCCTGCTGTGTGAGTACAACAGATATGTATCCTTACCATCTTTCCTACTGGGTGAGTACAACAAATATGTGTCCTTAATATCTTTCCTGCTGGGTGAGTGCAATAAATATGTGTCCTTATTATCTTTCCTCCTGAGTGAGTACAACAAATATATATCATTACCATCTTTCCTACTGGGTGAGTGCAACAAATATGTGTCCTTACCATCTTTCCTGCTCGGTGAGTACAACATATATGTTTCCTTACCATCTTTCCAGTTGGGTGTGAACAATAAATGTGTGTCCTTACCATCTTTCCTGCTGGGTGAGTACAACAAATATGTGTCCTTACCATCTCCTGTTGGGTGTGTACAATACATATGTGTCCTTACCATCTTCCCTGCTGGGTGAGTGCAACACATATGTGTCCTTACCATCTTTCCTGTTGGGCGAGTACAATAAATATGTGTCCTTACCATCTTTCCTGCTGGGTGAGTACAATAAATGTGTGTCCTTACCATCTTTCCTGTTGGGCGAGTACAACAAATATGTGCCCTTACCATCTTTCCTACTGGGTGGCCACAACAAATATATACCATTACCATCTTTCCTGCTGGGTGAGTGCAATAAACATGTCTCCTTACCATCTTTCCTGCTCGGTGAGTACAACAAATATATATTATTACCATCTTTCCTGCTGGGTGAGTGCAATAAACATGTCTCCTTACCATCTTTCCTGCTGGGCGTGTACAGAGTCCATACCATTTTACCAGTTTGGTTCGTGCAACCATTTTGTGTAGTTACCATCTTTTCTTCTCAGTTGGTACAACAATATCGTGTCCACACCAGCTTTCCCACCGAACACAGCCACCGTGCTTTAACACAATGTTACAAGATGGGTAAATGGGACAATTATATTAAATGTTGGGTAAGAGAAACAGACTGGAATGCATTATTACTGCTAATGCTAACTTTTTTTTCAAAAATGTATCTGTTCATTATTCAGTAAGACAATTCCATATAGTCTTCGTATCTATGGTTGTAGGTAAAATAAGTATGGCGTCCACCATCCATAAAACATGCGGCGGTGCATGATATAGAGTATGACCAGAAATTATTGAGAATTTTAGGAATATGATTAAAATGGATTTCTAGTATATACAACCTTGACCAGCTATCAAGTGCTTGGTTTCATTCAAGAGAGACAACTCCGTTAATCCTTTTCATTAGTTTGTCAAGAGTTATTCCCCTTTGTTTACTTGCTAGCAGACGACATTTTCAGTGATCCTAAGTATGGATGATTTAGAGAAGGGGAATTTGATTTTAGAGTATTATAACAAGGACATCAGATCAGCTAACGTGATTTCAAGTAGAACAGGCATCCCTTTGTCCACTGTTTATCGTGTTTTGAAAAATATTGCAAATGGATATGGCATTGAGCACCGGGGAGGCGCAGGTAGGCCCAGAAAATTGACTGTCGGTGACAGGAGGCGGCTTGGTATTCTTGTTTCTAAAAACAAACGAAGGAGTTTAGAAAACTTAAGGCTGGATATGATTGATAGAGGAACTGTGGCTGTCTGTAAGGAGACAATTAGAACTGATCACCGATCATGAAACCTGAACAAAAGGAGCGAAGGTTGAACTGGTGCTTACAGCATAGAAATTTTAACTGGTACAATGTGATTTTCTCAGATGAACGTTCTGTGTGGCTGTTCCTAATTAACTGAAATTCTGGACCAAACAAACTGAAAAACCTTTGTATCAGCGCCCAAAGTACAGTCCGAAATTTAACGTGTGGGGTGGCATATCTGGTTTAGGGGCAACGCCCCTCTGTGCATTTGAAGGGAATATGAACAGTGAGTTGTACGCAGATATTCTCGAGGGACATTTACTTCCATCTGCTCACGTGTTCTATGGAAAGTTTTGGATTTTCCAGCAGGACAACGACCCAAAACATCGTTCAAAGCATTCACAGGCCTGGTTTCGGACCCAAAATATGACAATATTAGATTGGCCAAGCTATAGCCCTGACCTCAATCCAATAGAAAATGTTTGGGGACTTATGAAGGAAAGTGTCAATAAGAAAAATCTGACAAATATTGCTGAAATGAAAGAAGATGTGGTCCGATATTGGGACAGCAAGGACCACGACTTTCTAACTTCTTTGATCAGTAGTATGCCCCGCCGCATTGAAGCCTGCATTGCTGCCAATGGTGACTTGATAAAATACTAACTGTTCACCTGTCTTTGAATCTGGAGTTATGTTCCGCGAATATTCACATTTAATACGTGAGTAATGAGTGAATTTTAAAAAAATTACACAATCTTTAAATTCTCAATAATTTCTGGTTGTACTGTAGAGTACATAAAGCCTTAACGTATATCTCTGCACTGAATATAAACTGTGAATCCTGCTATTCGTGATAAACGCGTCTACAGGTGAACGTGCAACTATAAATTCCAGTGTAGGTTATGTTAGTTGACTACCCACGACTAGCTGTGTCTAAAGTTTAACATGTTCGTCTAGTGATTTTCTTTTAGAATTGAATTTAGGATACTCTTACCCGATGGTTCAACAGGGAGCAAACACTATTATCGACTTCATATAGATCTTTGGCGGGGAATTGCACAGCATTTTTAGTTCGCGAAAGAAACGAAGGAAAATCTATCCGTTGCTATTTCAGCATCAAAGGACTGATGAAGCTTTTCGATCTTGTAAAAATGCACCACAGCAATTCAATTATAAGTTTTAACTTTCACCCAAAGACTTCTTTTCTATCAGTTCTGTCCCTTTATTTCCTAGCTGCATGTAACCACGTCCGGTTGTAGCCGTTCTCAAACTTCCACTTTCAGAACCCTACAGTAGACAGAAATACTATCTGCCCCAGCTATAAATTAATCAAACTAAAAGTTTTTAGGTTACAATTTTGACGGAATTTTACCCTGCGTGAACATGGTTCCCTTAATCTCCAGCCCATGTCAATACCGAACTGTTTGTTCCTATTGCCAACTCCTGTGGGAGTATGATTGAGATGGACGCCATTGATGACTTCAAAGTAATTTCTTTCCGCGTCTATGCACATCATTTCCATGATGTATTTATTCCCGAATCAAAACAATGTCATATAATATTAAACACAACGCGAGAGATCCACAACTCTCGGTCATCAACAGTGAGTGAGTGAGTGAGTTTAGTTTTACGCCCAACTCAGCAATATTCCAAAGGCAACGAATGGTAGAAACCATAGAAAGGGCAACTGAAACACCAAGATATATACAGTTGTTTTCAGTTTGAACGTAAACTGACCGCATGGATAGTTACTAACACTGTCAACAAATATGATTTGGATGTAACGATTTTTGGCTGATGCTGCTGCATGCGGCATAAAACAAAATTCATTCACATAATAGACTATGGTGAACACATTTTCAGGCGACACAAAATGAGTATATACAATCAGTAACAACAAATCTTTTGATAGATCAGTGCCGTGCATTCGCTCTGGTAACGTCATTCTGCTTGGTTTCAGCTCTGATCCTGTTTGCGATGATGAAGATGAAGTCGACCCCGGCGCTAACATCGAGCGTTATCCTCGGAGCTGGGATTCTGTTCTGCATACTCAGCGTTATGCAGAACTCCTACCACTGGCGAGCAGAGAAAAGCCGAGCGGACGAGGGACTTCCGGTTTACGAAACCCCTCCACATTCTCATAAGACTCAGGGGGATGTCAACGTACCTCGGAACGAGTTGTCTACCCTTGTTTGACACAACGCCGACGTTAGTGAATACATCTGACGGCATTCGGAACACTTCGGCTTGTAACGTAGAGCTTTTGCAACCGGAAAAACCCGAGGAAATCCGAGTGTAAAGAGGCTTGATTCGTTAAAAATGGCGCTAGAAAGACATGAAAGGCAAACATAATGGCTACGAGTGGCTTGTATTTAGTTGTGGAAGTGTGGATTCTATCACGATTGGAAAAGCAAGATATTGTCAATTAACAAGATGTCATCTTGCTCTGACATCTGGAGTCTGGAATCAGTATTTGACAGATTTAAAATATTGGAAGGTGGTATTACACACACGATATTACTGGGAGCTGTGTAATAATGCGGACCATTATGACTGATGGAGATTTCAAGGTTGTAAAGAAAGTAAACGGAATTTTACAACCGCCAGATATGGAGCCATCATGGCCAAGTTGTGTGAGAGGAAGTCTCTGAGTGTCAGATAGCACTAACGTCTCTGATCAGAATCGTATACGATGGAGCTTCTGTGAAGGAATGAGTAGCACAGCGAATTACATCAAATTTGTAAGTTGTTGCCAACAATTGGCATGGAGGAGACCAACGTCGGCCGACTTCCACCACATAGAACACAATACATTACTTACATCACTTTGATAGTTTCGTATAGATATCATTGGATTTAGGTTACTTTGTGGAAGGTCATCCCATCGAATGTCCTCAGTAGAATTAAGCAGACCATCTCTTCCTCTTTATTCCGTTTTTATCCTCTCTGTGAATACAGCTTGAATCATCTAGAGCTTTTCTCGTACCATCTTCATTTAATGTTTTTCCCAGATGTCTTCGTACATTGTTTAATTATAATTATCGAAAGTGTATATATGTACAATTATAATGTCGAATTAATAATAGACAAATATGTTCTGACGGAAGAAATATATGAAACATATTTAGCATGTCATGTGTCAGTGTCAATCTCATGTTGATGTTAAGGAGGATCTTTTTGTGAAACTAAAAGATGCTAGTTTTTCTGTAAGGCGTTGATGACAACATATGGCGAGTAAGAACTGAGTTTTAGTAGATTGAATAAATGTCTGACAATAAATACAAAAGTTTTCGCAAACAATAGGTCAGTAAATGAAACGTAAATGAAACTTCAACTAGAATGGAATTTCTTTGAAACTGAACTGAATATTTTGTCATATACTATACAGTTCAAAGAGCTACCAATGATGCATGATGCCAGTCGGGATTGGAGACAGTATTTCGGTTAGGGAACTTTTCAACCCACAGTTTTGAGGATATTCCTTACATGTTTTGTTCCAGACCTAAATATAGCATTTGAATCATTATATAACATGATGTGATCACTTTTAATCCTGCTTTGTTGATGTAACCTGAAACATGTTCTAATGTATGATTACGCTTGGTAAGTATAATTAACATGACTGTTACATACATCAAACTGACCACCGTTGGTTTACCCTTTAACGTTGTTAATGTATGTCTCCCCCATGTATGATGGCTGCCGATTTAGAAAGAGTCCAGTCATTGCTTCAGGCGTTGACACATATTTATGTAATGACATCAGTTAATGTCATCAACATTAAAAGTCTTCTAGCTGGATGCCTAAATGGCAAGGATTGAATATAACGGTAAACACTCAGTTTCGGTCTTGTTGGCTAAACGAACAGCATGACAATTATATCAGACGAGTTACGTTCATGGCTACGTTGCAGCATTTTTGCCTAACCTTTTAATCTGTTTCCATGACGACCAGTGCTTAGAGCAAAATTGTGTATTTAGTCATAATGCAAAAACGATATGTGATTTAATGACAACTACAGATTTAATTGACTTTGGAAATTGAATTATGGGTTTTTTTCTGGTTGATCATGGCCCGAGGCTGAAATGAATTCTAGGTGTGACGGTTGGAGGTATGAGGGATGTCGTAAACCGTTGCAATACGTGAGGTAGTTCCCATTTCCAAATACAAGAAAACAAGATGCGCTCTTATCAGAAAATTGATGGTTGGAGCTTATAATTTTATCCGTTTTTAAGATTATCCAGGGCTAAACTATTTACATGAGTATGCAGGAACGTGATGAAGGCATTTAGCCGATTCCAGAACTTTGACAGGTGGCGTTGATTGATCAATACATGAAACTTACGGGCGGATTTAAACATTTTCTCAATCCCTAGATTAGGGATTTAACAGTAGTTTAAGTAATGTCAGTCAACGAAACCAAACTGACGTAACAACATCTCTAAAACTGCATATATAAGAGCAGTGTAAAAAAGGTTTTCAAGAATGTTCCCCAGTTTTAACTGAATTGAAGGTCAGCTGCAGAATAATGACTAATTGTGGGTTTTAATATTATCCACGATATGAGCAAAACTTATCGCATGGAGAAACATATTTCAGTTTTAAAATCTTATTTAACTAAAGCTGTTCAACGATATCCAGCATACGAATATAACAACAGACAACAACAGACTACACCTAATCTTCGATATTGACCCTCAGCCTAAGCCCAGTTTACGGCCCCTGAAAGAATCGGTAATTGTTGTTTATTGCGTATCGAGTCCACGCGAAAGGCGCTTAACAAGAAAGGCGGTTCTGAGGAGTATCTCTTTTATCGCGAACGTATATCTAAATCGCGAGATCCATCCATGCTTGTCAGTGATCGTTCCCGTATCTTAACATATTTATCAGTTCACATCCATGGTAAACCCTTTCCTTCTTTACGAAACAGCACAACACAACTAATTCTTAGAAACCCAAACTTCTCTAACGATTTTTGGCTCAAGCTTAGGATAATTGGAAAATATTTTCCAGGTTGGCGCAGAGGAGTTCTGGCAATAAAGAAACCTGCTTCCCGAACATCGCTTCAAACAGTACAAGCGGGCGCCAATACACGCCTGTCGTGAGTCTAAGGGATCAATATTTGACTCTCAGGAACTATTTCTGGGAAAATTCCACTTTTTTGTGACTGCCAGGAACTATGGTACCTTCACTGACAAATTGGTTCGCCTCTCGCTTTGTAATTCAAGCTCAGATTAGGTTGCAGTTGGGCACTGGAACCCAGACGGGGAAATTGGTTTTGAGTGTCGTAAGAGAGGAAGTCTGAATTAATCTCAATACTCTCAAGTTGTGATAAAATGGTAAAAACCTGACTGTCAGACATTGAAGATGGTTGATATGTTGGGGCAGGCGAATGATCATATTACATGATTAACTCATGCATTTGGTTTCATTACACTAAGTTATAATTCCTTGATATCCCCGGGTTAGTAATATGGATGGAATATTTCACCTTGCTCTTTCACAGATCATCAGATTTTGATATCTCTGATTGATAATAATGATGATAAAAGAGAAAATGTTTTGCTTTCAAAATATATGTGAACTAATAACATTATCAAAGATATGTAAATGATATGCATTTCAGAGAATAATGGACATGCTACGGAAAAAAAATTGTTTAACCAATTCATGTCGATCCTAAAGAAATGTTAGACAAATTTAAGTGTAAAGAAAATACAAGAAAAGAACAATTAACTATAGGCAAAGAAAATATTAACTAGTGCTTTGATGATATTGTGCAATCCTTTGAGTCCCTTTGAGCCACACTAGGTTTACACAGAGCACACAAAAGACAAACAAATCTATTCATGAATAATCCAGAATCACTGCACGGTTGGAAGGTGAGATCAGGCGAAAGGATGGGAACAAAATAATTGACCTTCGTGAAAGAAGCAGTTTTTGATAGAGGGGTTCTCGGAAATGGGAAAGTGCAATTGACACCTCAGACAAGTGAATTTTTTAAGGAGTGTAATGATTAATTTCGGTAATTTCCAATAAATAAACATGAGGTGGCGCGTGTTCTTAAAGGTATAATATCTGTTTCCTGGCATTCCTAATTGAGGTTGACCCCTTGCCAAAATAGAATGCGGAATGCCAGGCGAACGGAGGAACGAACACTGGCCATCCAAAGCACTCGCGGAGTAGAGCCTACAGGTTAACCTTGAAGAATCTTAAAGCACACAGAGTCACTAAATTACCATTGATGGAGCATGGAAACGTTCGGGAGAAGCAATTGTGTGTAGTGGTGTAACGTCATGAACGGCAACAGACGTGGTCTAAACAGTCTTCTTGGTATCCTCGGGTCAGCTGAGATGGGTCTTTAGTGAATCTCAGACATCCTGAGGTAACAACTGGACTGTCCTTACAGTCAGTGTCTGTGTGACCGCTCGATAGGTTCGTTAGCCAAAGTCCAACTTCAGAAGTTCCATGTAACAGGGTATTTGGCCCACAAGCCTGAATCTAAACAGAAAACGTGGCTGATGTGAAACCTTTCTTGCTTAACCCTTGAACTCTGGACATGTTTTGATATTCTTGAAACCATTTCACCGCCATTATCCTGAACGAACATGTACGTACTATTCTTCATTGGTCAGTTCCTTCAAACTACGTCAAATCGAATACATCTGTGGACGTTAGGAAAGCAATGCATCGGAAAAGTGTCATATTGGGGTTGGTGTCGTCGCTGACTTGAATGAACATAAGTGGTGGAATCCTGATGTTCCAAACTGGATTATTGTAGGTGGAAGTTGCAAAACAACATGAATAAAGTCAAGGGCTATGAGTAAATTATGTTACCCCCAACTGTTCCCCATTTGCAACACGTGCAGTAGTTTCCCCGACGGTCCGGCATGGACTGACTACATTCGAAGAGACAGTAATCACGTACAGATCGAAAATCATTCATCCACCGAATGTAAAGCAGAATGACGCTTTGGGGAGCGTACATGAAATTGGAACTGACTGACAATTATATTAGCTTTGAGGTTGAAACATCAAGTTTGTTCTTCACCTTTACTATTCCGTTGTTTTTTCACGAAGAAAGGTTAATAGCTCGTTTCCATATTTTTGAAAAGGTCACAAATCTACAAAAAAAATATTTTCTGGTAATCACAAACACTAGTAATTACAAACCTAGATTAAAGATCCGATGTTCGGTATGTCATACGCGTTTATAGAGCTTGCTGGCTGTTGTACGGGCGTTCCTGAAACATGTTGAAGCAGCTTACATGTGGATGGTGAACTTTCACAGGGTGTTTCATCAAATGGCCCATAGTTTGAAAAGCCTCCACTTGGATTTAGATCAGATGATTTAGAAAAATCGAGATCATTAATATATTTACCTTTTGCATCGTATAGATTTTCACATCCAGTAAGCAGCATGAAATTGTTTATTTTCATCTAAATACATCTATTGTTCATTTTGTAATGTAACGGAACGACTGAAACTCGACGCTGTATTCTCAAAATCAATGGAAATATGTCAAGAAAACGTTTCGTGAAAAATCACTGATGTGTAAATCATGCAGCTGGCATTGTCATAAACAGTATACTAGTACCTAAAACACTCATACCCATTGTGAAGAACTCAGCTGCCTCCAATACCATCGTTTGATGCTATGCGCTTTGAGCATACCTCCATGGCGGGGAGACAACGCAATATAAATGCCATTATTAGTATATGTTGCCCTCCCGAAGTTATCTGTACACTGACATCACGTCAGTGAACAAGACTTGCAACAGCAGTAGGACTTTTAATCGACGTGTAGCCAGGCTGATATAAATTCTGTCACTAATCGTTTGCTAATGCTAATCTTTCCTTAGCCTCGTAAAGAACGTCATCAATCATGTTAAAAGTTACACTGACACATGTGGAGGATGCGGATCAATGGCCATGCATCTTTAGATGGTCGGTTTATGTTGATATTGT